AATGGAATGCCAATAAAAAGGTTCCTGGGGGGCACACACTATTTGGACTCGAATGCTAACCTACATCTTGGGAGTTCTAACCTACCCAGTCCCACCGAGGAAAGAGAGGTACGGTGACCTGTTTTTGTTAATATTACAGCCAAGAACACTCTCAGGAGCAGTGCGACTCTGACACATGGAGTCAGCAGGAGTTCCAGTCATTCAATGCCAACTAAAAATATCAACACCCTGGGGAAAGCGGGCTATCTTTTTGGCATTGTCGGGTACAGGGGCCTAATTGACATTGTTAACCAGCAACCCAAAGCATGGCCTCCCCCTTTGATGGGTCATTAGGAAGCAAGAGAATAAAAGGAACTCTGGCTGATCTCTGACTCCCAGGGGGAGCCACTGAGCCCAGGGGCATACTCAATGACCATATATATAATTGGAGTCCATATACATATACATCATACTTGTATATAAGCCCTACATTGTTCTTTGGTAAGTGGAGTCATAGCTGGGAGAGTAAGAAAAGCCAAACGGAAGCCTCTGTAATTCCTGTCCCTGTCCCACCAGTCAAGAAAGTAAATCTAAACCAAAATCCAATTCCATCGAGAAAACACTACAAAATCTTGGGGTGGGGATATTAGCTATTGAAGGGTTCTGGCATGAGCAATGCCTTATCAGAATCAATCCTCATTGTTACAGAAATTTAGGCAAGGGAGTTCATTTTTGCCTTTTTCTTTCTCTCTGTATATAGATATATATACAGATATATCCCTAGGTGTTTTTCCAAAACAATCAAATGTATGTAGATCTTAGATGGCATGCACTATTTTTTTTCGTTTTAAAAAATACTATCTACCTGTATAAATTGCAAATGCCATAGTATCATGCATTGCTCATCAATTTTTAAGTCTGAGACAACTTTCAGGACGTATACGTACAAGCTATGCCTGGATTAAACTTGAAACCATATTTAGGAGTAAAACCCCATGACATTTTTTTTTTATACTGTTAGTCCGGTGTTTGGGTGAAATTCCCAAATCATATCAATGGTAAAATTGTTCAACTTTCTCTGAAAAAAGGGGTTTGTTGGAAAAGAAATAATCTAATATTCATGTATGTATGCAGCTATATATGCTTCTATGATCACAATTATAGACAAGAATGTAAAAGTATTTTCCAAATTTTAAATTAGAGACTAATGAATTTGCACCTACCACTTCAAAACTGTATCTATAACTCTAAGAAATATAAAGGATAATATCCACTATCAAAGATTTATGTAGTCAAATTACAATGTTGATGAAGACTATTGCTTATACCACAATTGCCAGAAGAATTAACAACAGCCCTTGAAAGAAGTACAGCGAGTGTGTTCTCTGGAAGTGAGGATATGAGACTTCATCTCATAGACTTTGGACAGACGGGAGGGACCAGTCCCTGGAGAAGACATTATGCTTGATAATTAGAGAGTCAATGAGAAAGAGGAAGACCCTCAAGGAGAAAAGTTGGCACGGGGGCTGCACCAATGGGCTCAAACACAGCTTGTGAGCATGGCCCAGGACAGGGCAGTCTTTTGCTCTGTTGGACACAGGATTGACGGAGTGGGCCCTACGCAAAAGGACCTAACACCCCCCCCCCCCCCCCCCCCCCGCCCAACGTATGATCCACTGATCTCCTGATGTAGATGAATATCTCAATAGCATTAGGATGTGTGTTTAAATTTTAAATAAACTATGAGTTCTAAAAGTGCCAAAAATAATGATCAATGCAAAGAATAAAGACTAGATGTCAGACAGACTGGATAGAACCCTAAGTTTCTTAGCTATGGGGTTTTAATTTGTAATTTCACTTCCGTGAGCTCCACTTTTCCAATCTATAAAATAGGCTTCCATGACAACTGAATGAAATATTGTAAAGCATAGGACCATAGTCTGGTGAGACAATTCAGTTGATTGGCATACTATAGTTCATAAACTGTATGTTCTACATCCAAATGTGGCAAATTGTGTCTTAAAAGCTTGTGAAAAAATCAGATCAGTGGATGCCCACCTTCCTGATATGATCACTGAAGACAAGTGTGTGCATAAGCAAAGGTGGTAAAGAAAGCTGATAGTGCCCGGCTATCAAAAGATATAGTGTCTGGGATCTTAAAGGCTTGAAGACAATCAAGCGGCCAACTAGCTCAGAAGCAACAAAGACCACATGGAAGAAGCACGCCAGCATGTGTGACCACGAGCTGTTGAAGGGATCAGGTATCAAGCATCAAACAACAAAAAATCATATCATTGTAAAGGTGGGTGAGTGCAGAGTGGAGACTCACAGCCCATTGGTAGGCAACTGGACACCCCCTTGCTGAAGGGTTGAGGGGAGGAGATGAGCCAGTCAGGGTGCAGGGTAGCAACGATGAAACATATAACTTTCCTCTAGTTCTTAAATGCTTCCTCCCCCCACTATCATGATCCCAATTATACCTTACAAATCTGGCTAGACCAGAGGATGTACATTGGTACAGATAGCAACTGGAAACACAGGGAATCCAGGATAAATGACTCCTTCAGGACCAGTGGTGAGAGGGGCGATGCCTGGAGGGTGAAGGGAATGTGGGGTAGAAAGGGGGAACCGATTACAAGAATCTAAGTATTGCCTCCTCCCTGGGGGATGGACAGCAGAGAAGAGGATGAAGGGAGACGTCGGACAGTGTACCTCATGACAAAACTATAATAATTTATGAATTTTGAAGGGTTCATGAGGGAGAGGGGAGGGAGGCGGGAAATGAGCAACTGATATTAAAGGCTAAAGTAGAAGGCAAATGTTTTGAGAATGATGATGGCAACAAATGTACATATGTGCTAGACACAATGGATGGATGGATGGATTGTGATAAGAATTGTACGAGCCTGCAATAAAATAATTTTTTTTAAAAAAGCTTGTGAGTAGCCATGTAAGATACAACTGTTGGTCTCTAGCAAACAGAAAGAAGGAAGCCAACCACTCAGAGAATAAAGTAGTCTATAAGGTGCCCTGGTGGCATAATGGTTAAGTGTTGGGCTGCTAACTGCAAGGTCACCTGTTCAAAACCATCAACTGCTCCATGGGAGAGAGTTTTCTACTTCCATAAAGACTTACTTACAGTCTCAGAAACTCAAAGTTGCAGTTCAACCCTATCCCATGGGGTTACGATAAGTCAGCACTGATTCAATCAATGGTAGTGAATCTGGTTTTTGGTTTTGAATAGGAGTAATCCTCTACGTGGACCATAGCCTCATCTACCTTGAGACCAGAAGAACTCGATGATACCTGGCTACCATCCTGACTGTTCTGATCAGACGGCTCCTGATAGGATAGGAGAAAAATGTAAAGCAAAATGCAAATTCTTTAAAAGTGCAGACTTATGCACCCATTGAAGACTAGAGGCCTCCCCATGGCTATTTCCCTGAGATGCCCTTTGTGTTTTACACCCAGATTACCCTTTAAGTCACTGTGTAGCTAAACAATAGGGTGGTTAATAAAATATCACCAATGAGTGAAGTGCTTTAAAAAAATCACACATAGGAGAACAAATGGTTGAACATTAAACCACAGCAAAGATGAGAAATTAAAGCAGCCAGGGAACTACGGTATTGGAAATAGTTCAGCCAGAGCACAGTAAATGAGAATGATGACACTTTACCAAAGATACGAACAATATCATTGAATAATCTGTGTCGGGGATGTTAATGGGAACTTAATTTGCTGTGTACCTTTTCACCTTAAGCAAAATAACATTTCATATATATACACATACTTGTGTGTGTGTGTGTGTGTGTATATACATATGCACACACATATATATATGAATCCATGCTGAAAATATACTATTGTAAGTCTCCTGTGCCATAAATGCTCAATGGCACAGCCAAGCTGAGTGATCTCTCAGAATGCCAGTGCTGTGCACCTGGAGACACGCAGGAGGAAGAACAAACACAAGGAAATGGTTGACCACTGGCCAGATCATGAACCCTGCTCTCGTGTCACGCTTGTCCATTTTTCAACAATAAATGACACAATAAGTTGGTGTCAGTGCCATCGGTGAAGTGTAATAAGATGCATACTGAAGTGCAATGTCATAGATACTTTTAATGTTCCAAAATTAGTAAATAACCATAGTGCTTCAATCTTACAGTATGGAACTCTTGATGGAAACACCATCAAATAAACCCACTTCAACAGAAAAAGAGTTGTGCTCTTCACTTCAGCTGCGACTCGGACTCTTTATCGGGGCTGGGGCAGTGCCCACAGGATCAGGCATTTCGGACACGAGCAGCTCAACGGGCCTCGTGCTCTCGAGCCGTCTCGTGGCATTGCCTCGCACAGTTTCCAAAGTGTCCTCTTTATAGGGGCAGAGTGTCCACGTGTCTCCTGCCGAGCGATTGTTGGATTAGAACGAACAGGCTGTCTGTTAGTGGTGGAGAGAGTCAGCACTGCACTCTGACGGCTCCTTCAACAGAGCTCACCCACTGGGGAGTCAATCCCGACTCGTTGCCACCCTATCTGTAAGGTTTCCATGGCTTTGTAAACGTTTAGGGGAGAGACAGCCTCATCTTTCACCTGTGGAGCAGCTGGTGGGTTCTCCCTGCAGTCCTTTCGGTTAGTAGACTAATGCTAACTGGACCCACACCACCAGGCTCCTGGCCACCCAAGATAACAGGGCCCATTTGCTAAGTCAGAAGAGCATTCTGACATGGACACTTCATGCACGCCCTGCACGCTTTCCTTTCCCGTGACAGAGGCAGGGACTGAGCGGAAAAACCTTCTGGACTCGAGTAAGAAGACAAGTGTGGAATGTTAAAGCGCCTTTATCCTTTCCAACATCCCGATTCCCTAAGCAGACAGGCATTTTGGGGCAAAGTGGCCAATGAGAGCAAATTAGTAATGCGAATGTGCCCTCAGTGAATTAGCAGGACAAAGTGACACCCATCAGATGAGGTTTAACTCTTCCCCATTAAAATAGCGTTAGTGGCTGGATTCCTTACCTACAACAATCCCATAGGAAAAAAGCAGGAAGTAGATGTTAGGGGCAAAACTGCTCAACATCAGCCCTCCGGCCACCAGGAAGCCACTGAAGATGGTGACAGGTCTTGCGCCAAAAGATGAGACACAGACGCTGCAGAGAGGACCTAAAAACACAAAGGAAATCTCGACTTACTGGACAGCAGCCTCCAGCCGACCCCTGTGGGATCGGATCCCGCCTACTGTAGCGTGACCCTCCCCCGCATAAGGACAACAATGAAGATGAGATCCATGTGCTAGCCAGGTGGTTTCTCCCAGGATTTTGATGCAGAAGTAATCACACAGTTAAAACATGGGGGCTTAGGAAGCAAGCCTTGTCACATTCTAGTGGTATACATACTAACTCTTTGATCTAAAGCAATCTATTTAACCTCTCTGTGCCTCAGTTTCCTTCACTGAAAATGGAAATAATCATTGTACCCACCACGTAGTGTTATTGTGAGGACAAATAAACTCCTCACAAGGCCTAGCAGAAGAAATGCCCACCAAAGCCGACTGCTCAGGGACAACAGAAGCGTCAGCAGTGTCCAAAGGGCTTAGAGGAAGACGTATGAGAACAAGCTATCTGCCTCCGGATACCACTTTATAACCTCTGTAGTTTCCTGCGAATTTCATGTCTTCTGACACGGATTCTCATGCATCTTTCTAACCCAGTGCTCCTTTCCTGCCCAAACCTTTCATATAAATTGAAGAATAGTTAGCTTATAACCAATAGCCAGCCTATAGAGCGGTGACGTGGGGGTGAGTTGTTTCTCCCCACCGATAGCATACTCTGAGGTGAAATGGAGGAGCAGCCTATCTGCCTAGTTACGGGCCTTTCAACAGGCCTGCCCTGACAGGCATGATCACCCCTGGAATCCGGTCTATGCACGAAATGCACAGCCATAGAATTGATATCGACTCACGGTAACATCATGCTCTGTGTGTGATTGGGTAAGATGCAAGTGTTGTACGCGTCAGCGAAAGTGAAATTCCTTCTCATTCAAACCGAGCCAAACTCACTGCTGCAGAGTCCGTTGTGACTCGCGGTGCTCCTGTAGGGCAGAGGAGAGCTGGCCTTTGGGGTTTCCAAGGCTGTCCATCTTTACAGGGGCAGAAAGCTTTATCTCTTTCTTTCCTCCACCGGAGGAGTGGAGGTTTTGCAGTGCAAGACTTGTAACCCACTTGTACCTCACATTGCGGCACAACTCACAACCCGCTATGCCGTCAGGGCTCCTTCTGTCCCACTAGTGCAGGGGTCCTCAAACTTTTTAAACAGGGGGCCAGTTCACTGTCCCTCAGACCCGTTGGAAGGCTGGACTATAGTTTAAAAAAAAAACTATGAACAAATTCCTATGCGCACTGCACATATCTTATTTTGAAGTAAAAAAACAAAGGGGGAAAAACACCCGGCAGGCCAGATAAATGTCCTCAGCAGGCCGTAGTTTGAGGACCCCCGCGCCAGTCCTTGCACTTTGAAAGCACCTGTGATTATGGGGGCTTCACTGGGCACTCCTGGGCCAGGGCAGGGGCTGATCTCACCCTATCAATGGTGCACAGCTCAATGAGAGCTTTTGGTGTCAGAGCCTTTCTGTACAAGACAGAGAGACGGAGGAGAATGGAACTCTCTTTGGTCCTTCACCTTCTGCCAGAGCTGGATCATGGTCTGGTTCCTTGATTTCCTGTTATGTCACCTGCCATTTACAGGAGGCATCATTGGACTAGCAACAGTGGATTCATTCAGACTGCTGCATCCACCAGCCTGTGCCCCTGATGTCTCTGCTTTGGCATCCTACATCCTGTTCATCAGCTTCCACTTATAAGGAGATGCCTAACTTGAACCTGGCTGGGCTGACTTATTTCTACAACTGTGCCAGCCAGTTCTTGATACAAATCGCTCTATATGCAAGCATGACTGATTTTGATTCTCTAGAGAACACAATCTAACACAGTGCCCCAAACTGAAGAACCTAGAGTATTATAAACAAAAAAAGACATTAGGGTTATTCAGCCCAAGAGTCTCATTTTACGTGAAACGAAACTGAAGCCCAGGGCGGTAATCCAAGCCTACGACTACAGGCAGCCAAGGAGAAGGAAACACTCAAGATTGATAATCAGAAGCACAGAGAAGCGTGTCTTCAATGAATTGAACAGGGTTCAATATCAAGGTTAAAAGTATTATCTCCTATAGCGTCTGGGGTCTTAAAGGCTTGTAGATAAACAAGCGGTCATTTAGCTCAGAAGGAACAAAGCCCACATGGAAGAAGCATGATCATGAGGTGTCGATGGGATCAGGTATCAGGCATCTAAGACCCAGAACAAAATCATACCCAATATGAATGGGGTGGGGGTGGGGAGGCATGGAGTGGAGACCCAATGCCCATCTGTAGACAATTGGACATCCCCTCACAGAAGGGTCATAGGGAAGAGATGAGCCAGTCAGGGTGCAGTATAGC